CCGAGACGACTCCGAGAGTTTCGAGGAGAAGGCATTCTGCAAAGAGTCTTATTCCAGATCGCAAACCATTTGGACGCAAATTCTAAAAGAAAGATGTATTACAGATCGCAAACTATTCGGACGCGAATTCTGCTAAGAGTCTTATTCAAAATCGCAAACCAAGCAGACGCAAATTCAATCTAATGTGTTAATGGCGTCCACTATGGACTACAGTTTAATAAAGTGTCTTGTGGAACAAAGTGTGTGTGTGTGTGTGTGTTGTAACAGGAGTTCCCACTTCCCTTCCTGAGCGAGACCCTGCCAAACGGCCTGAGAACTGAACCTTAGCTCTACCGGCAGAACTAGCTACCCCCGACTGCTACCCCCTTATCAATCCTTCACACCTTTCATAAATCTGTAAACTGATGGTAGCAGTTTACTGGCGCCCAAACAAAACCCATTACCCTAAAGATCAGAGGTGTGTAAGTATAAGTGAAGCAGGGTAAAGCCAGCTGTAGCCGCCGTCGCCCATAGCAGTCCAGCTGCCAGTGACATAAAGACCAACACAAGAGGACGAGTAGAAGAAGATGGCACTTCCGAACGTGTAGGCAAACCGTTACAATATATATACATTAATTTTCAGAACAAATATTGTAATAGTAGCCTCCATATACAATTGTATATGGACGGAACCGTTTAAATTTTCATGACATTCATAATTACATTGTTTGTGTAAATGAAATTGCATGCTTTTAAAATCATATGGTAGCAAGTTTTAGAAACATACGTACTCATAAACTGGCGTTTCTAGCAAGCACATTTTCCCCATGCTCATTCTGATACCACTGCAGTACTCATGGGTCTTGTATGAGAAATAAAGTAAAAATGGAATAAAAAAATTGGAAGTTAATAAACTCACACCTGTTTGCAAGAAAATTTGAATATTTTAGTACCTAACTCTATCAACTCCTGACACCTGACTCATGTACTACTCAGAACCAACATACCACTTTTGGGTATGATTATTATTATTATTATTATTATAGACCTATGGACATGGCTATGAATTGTAGCGTTATTTATAAAATACTTTATGCTCTATGTTCTCAAATATTCATATTACCTCATCTTCACTTTTACATCACAGCCATGGAAGCAGGGGTGGCCCGTGTATAGGCACTGAGGAACTGCAGCACCCCCAATTTCCACTTGATATTATCGATAACATTTATATAATGAGTCCTTTTTTCTTTAATTCTTTCTTTATACTTGTACAATACAATATATAATCCTTATGCTTAATGTCAGTAGCCAACTCTTTGTATGGAACTGTGAGTTTCACAGTTCCAGCGGGGAGGTGTTCGTTGACTGTGTGCGTGCGCACATAGGAAGCTACACGCGAGGCTGCAAGGGAGAGGGAGCACTGCAGGAACGACAGTGCTGACCCTGGCGTGCTGGTGGAAGGTAGTTTTTTTTTTTTTTTACTCCACGTGTTGTGCTTAAAAAATATGAGTTAATTGTAGAATTAGATTATTATCCTGCTTCCAGCTATTCTATTCGATTCATTTTTTTCGGTTCTTTTATTTAACAGAAAACTTTAACCATGGCCTTGCATCCCCGAGAAATAAGTTCTGACTCTAAGTGAACTTCAGCAGCTTAAGTTTTCAGAACTCTCTCTCCGTGAGAAAGTTGCAGTTAAGAAAAGAGCAAAAAGAGGTCGTTTAACACCTGACATTCTAATGTCTCAGCCAGGCATAAGCAAGTACAAGAAATATATTCATACCTTTAATTCTGAATAATACAAACGGAAAGTTGGCTTTGCGGCTGTGAAGTGAAAAATGCACTGTTTTGCTTCCCGTGTTTGCTGTTTGGGGGTGATGTAACGTGGACAAAAGATGGTTTTAGAAATATAAACAGAATGAAAGAAAAAACTGAAAAGCATGAGAAGTCAAAGAAGCACGTTGATAATGTAGTTTCACTGTCACTTTTAGGAACCGTAAGTATTAAGGAGAAACTTAGTGAGGCATACAGACTTTCAATCAATGAGCATAATATAAAGGTTAAAAAGAATGGATTTCATTTTTAAATGAATAGATTAAGCTTGAACTGTAACAATTTAGGTTAAAGTAAGTAAAAAATGTTTGATTTTGTTCTTTTAGGATTTTATCAAGTTTCTGAATAAATTTTCTTTTTATACATGTTTGTTTCCTTTTAATAAAGGCTACAAATTTTCTGGAGCAGCACCCCCACTAATTTTAGCTATGAGCCGCCACTGCATGGAAGGTTAGTTATGGAGGCTGCAGATGATCCTGGCAAGTGTATGTGGATTTTGAAAACCGATATCTGTATTTTTAAAAACAAACTTAACCTAATTAAATTCAAGAACTTGAAAAGTTTTGGAAAGACAGCTACATTTATACTGTGGTGCTAAACTTCAAAGAATTACAATACAATACAGTAGAAGAAATTTTGTCAAAAATGACATAACCTCTTTTCTCATCAATAGACAGCAGAGCATCACAGAGACCATTAGATTCTGAAGGATTCTTACAGTGATGTGTGATGATCAGGATTATTGGTTTTTGGATTTTGATTATCATCTAGTATTCTTTAAGACAAAATGGATCTGTTTTTGTCCTCAGGTGAGGGAGCAGACCTCTATTCTGTTTGGTCCGTTAGAAAGAACTAATTCCAATCACTGGACAGTTATTGTGATTAGCGCTTTCTAAGGGGCCGAACTGACTAGGTGTCTTCCTTTCTCACCTGAAGATGGAAACAGATCCAGCTTCTGAAACGCTGTGTCCTCTATTACAATTCCGGACGATGGAAAAAGTCCAAAACCCCAGTAATGCTGTGTGTCAACCACCATCAGAACCCTTTAGAATCTAATTATTACATTTTATCTGAAGGAGCCTCTTAGATAAAGCTGACATAAGAACACAAGTGATGGCATAAGGTGATGGGCGCCTACACTGTGGCAACATTCTGAAGTGCAAGCATTAGAAAAAAATATTGTCATCTGTGATAGTGGTCATACTGAAAGCACAGCACATTTGAGGATGCAAATTGACTTAGTCCTCCCAGAAACCGATGAACTTCCTACTCTTACTGACCTTTCAGATACAACTTTGATGAGGGGAAGGCGGATCTAGATAAGAACAGTTATCAGAAGAGGTACTGTGTGCAAACAAATGGATAAGCTTGAATACTACTCGGGTCATTGCTGTCAGCCTGTCAGTTTAAGAAATTTGATAGCTTTCTGAATTCCAGGTAAGAGTTTCCATACTCCATCAAGGTTCATATGCAGTACCTCTTTACACTGTTGGTTCATTTGACAATGCTTTCAATGGCTCAGATTATATGGGTTCAAGTGAAATGATGATTCAGTGAATAATAAATCAGAAAATCTGTTAGGAAGTGGTCATATGCTATTTGAGGTATTGTCCCAGCATTTGACAGGTCTAAGGAAAACCACAAAATGTCTCAATAAAAATATTTGGTTTCATATACCAATTCTTGCATATCGCTTTGATTAAGTGCTCAGTATGCTGTTGAAAAGAGAAAGTTAACCACTGAAGTTTGACCCTCAGAGATGGGACTGAACATGTCACACAGCTGGTTAGGTCTTATATATTTATATTACGGGTTTGAGGTTTAGAACACCACACAGTCTGCCTGAAAATGGGAGCAGTATATTCCTCCAAGACTACCAGGTGTCATAACCGGGAACACCGCACAGCTATGTAAATCTCACATCTAAGATTAGATTTCTGTGTGACCACCAGCCTCATAGGCTGCTAACTTGAAGTTGTGGGGAAGTTTCTGCAACCTTATAACTTTTTCTTTATTATTCGCAGTGGGGTGAGACTGCATCCACTACTCGCCTACTGTACCAGCCCCAGATGATAGATGATGATGATTTTCTAACGAATAGCAAATGCGCAATCTTACAGGCACTGTCATCTAAGAATGCACATTAGTATACGTCACACTTGAAGAGTCTCCAAGCTTCATGCCACTACTGTTTGCACCCAGTCCTCAGTTACAGGCTTCGTTACAACCTGGACAGTTATGCAGCTGCAGAACAAGTTGGCGCTAACAGTTCTTTTATTAGAGTCTGTCACAACACAACAACATAACAGTCAAGGCCAAAATTAGCTTAACTACATGTTTCAGCTATTAAAGCCATCATCAGGCAAACACATGATTACCATATTCACACTACTGAACTGCAAATGCGATGGTGAAGCTGTATACTTTATAATTATTACATTATAAATTACATGGTATAAAAATACAGTGAACTGTAAACTTATTATAAAAACGAAAGTTATGGCGTAAAATATGGTTAAAAACTCATGTGATATTCCATATCATCAAGTTAGTTGTTGCAATTTTGTTGACACTACTGAAGGGCCATCGTAACGAAGAGTTTTACTGCCTTGTTTGTTATTGCTTAGCTCTTTCCCTGTTCTTGTATGGAGAGGAAGATAAAACTTCAGACTTTTCATAACGTCTCTTCTGCTTCTTTGTCTGCACTGCCTTTCCTAATGGTGAGATCATAGCAGGGGACACTTGTGGCTCCTCAACTATCGCAGGTTGAACTGTTAGGGACACTTCATTACCATTTTCATTGTTCACTGAAACGTGTCTTCTGCAGTGGCTTGATTCTCCTGCACATGGGGGCAGAATGTCACTTCTGAGGATGCAGTCTTCATCTGAGAAGGCCTTACTGTTGTCTCGATTGCACGTACTGCTATTTTCAGGTTTGCCACTCTCTTATTGGCTGATCTGAAGATTCCGGCAACGTTGGTCTGAGTAATTGCTGTATCCCACACCTGGAATCGATGTCGTATCCCAGCAGCAAGACAGGTTGGCCAGGGCGAGCAGTTCCCTCGGGAGTCAAGACGGGGTAGCTTCAAGTAACAGCAAAGGTAGAGCTAGGTGGTTTAATGTATAACTATTAAAATGCAACGCTTACAGGAAAATGTACAGTTAAGACAGCAGTTTTGCACACTGCCTAAGCCTGGGCAGCCACCGACTTCCTCTATCAGACAATCCATCCTCACGGATTGTAGACTGTCGTGATCGAGAAAAGTGTCTTGTCACGCCCAATGGGGAGTATATATTCCTTCCTCCTTAATTCTCTAATAATGTCATACATTGCATCAGCTTAAAACTTCCAGAACATTCTCCTGTTTACAGTATGTGCGTCCCTCCTGGACTTTGATTGAACTTGACAAAATTTATGGGGCAGGAGAGTGTACGATTGTCACTGTCTTCTACTTGAACACAAGTACATTTTGGTATGATAATACGGGTCAGAGGTCGATTTACAATCTTTTAATATTTCGTCATATTATAGTCTCGCCCTCATTTCATATACTTAAAGTAGTTATTTTAATTGTGCACCTTCCTTCATTTTTAAGCATCCAAAAAACTGGATACCTGACCACCAGTTTCGGTTTCGCCAGAAACACTCCACCATGCAACAAGTTCACAGAATTACACAAGCCATAAACAAAACGTTCGAACACAAGCAATACTGCAGTGGAGTATTCCTCGACATCAGTCAGGCTTTCGACAAGGTCTGGCACCCTGGACTTATCTACAAAATCAAACATGTATTTCCACCGGCTTACTTCAATCTTCTAAAATCATACTTGAGTAGGAGAACCTTTCAAACCAAAGTAAATGAAGAGAAATCTGACTACTTTCCTATTGGTGCAGGAGTGCCACAAGGCAGCGTCCTTGGACCACTGCTGTATGTCCTGTACACGTCAGATCTACCGATGGCACAAAATGTCCTAATAGGGACATTCGCAGACGATACGGCCATTCTTACTAGCCACGCAGATCCTCAAACAGCCTCAACTACTACACAAAACTACTTAAATACTCTCCAACAGTGGTTAACAAAATGGAAAGTGAAAGTGAACGAGAATAAATCCGCACATATATCATTCACCCTCCGAAAAGAAATATGCCCAGCAGTCACAATAAACAACATACAGATACCACAAAAGCAAACAGTAAAATATCTAGGCCTACACTTGGATGCTAAACTGACATGGAAACAACATCTCGCAAAAAAGAAAAAACAAATAAACATCAAGACAATGGAGCTACAGTGGTTACTGGGAAGAAATTCACGACTATCTACAGACAACAAACTTCTAATATATAAAACAATTATCAAACCAATCTGGACATACGGACTAGAATTATGGGGCTGCTCAACTAAATCAAATGTTGCAATCATACAAAGATCTCAATCCAAGATACTCCGTCAAATTGTTAATGCTCCCTGGTACGTAACAAATCATACACTACATACAGATCTACAGGTACCAACCGTACAGGAAGCAATACGCAAGAAAGCCACCACACATCATAACTCCATAGAAAACCACCCCAATCAGCTCATGGAACAACTCCTGGAACCAGTAAGCAACAAAAGACTCAAAAAACTGTGGCCAAGTGAACTACTCTTAAGTTAATGTATAGATACTAATTACAGATTATACAGGTGATTTCGCTGGATATCAACCTGTTCATGCCACTAGTCATTAGTATATCTAATGAGTAATCAGCACTTTAGCTTATAGAATTATGTAATATTCTGACTGCTAGAATTTAAATAAACAAAAAAAATTTTAAGCATCTCACCTTGCAAAAATCCCTATTAAGTCAGTTACCTTATACAACAGCTCACTACGTACTAGGTGTTCCCTATATACATATTAATATAACCCAGTTTATACCAGGTATTCCCATATACAACTCTGGCATAATACATATACAACAGAATTGAAACTTCTTTCCCCTTTAATTCACTGACTTACAATCCATGACTGCATATGCGTTTGCTCTACTAGTTGTTGCGTGTTATTTCCCAGGCAATAACGACATTACCATTACATGTACCATTGCTTAGCAATGGCGAGTAAACAGTCGTTGCTATGTAAGGTCTGCAACATGTGACATGTGCTAGCTAATCGCATGCTAGAAACCATTCGCTGCCTAGCAAGAGCTGAGTAAACAGCCAGTGCTAGGCAAAGCCTGCAACAATATGGACAGTGACATGTTGTCTGTAGTTCTGACTCTAGGTTATATAAGAAGATATAGTGAGTGGGAGCTTGACTCCCATACATACATGACTATATAATAAAATTATGCAGGCAACAAGCAGAAGTCATACAAAATCATCATAATGAGAATATTCCCAACATCGGACAAAACAAAGCCTGACACAAAAAGTATACGAGGCTTAAACTTGGCGGCGGTCAAGTATACAACCGTTCAAGTGACTACACTGCCGTGGTAGCGGATACTACTAGAAATAGGGCATAATCTGCTGTACTGAGCCTGGACTGACAGAGGCCTAGTATATATTGTACACAGAAATAGGAATTAAGATTAAATTTGTAAATATATGTAAATACTGACAGTGGACTTGCTAATACGGACTATGACTGACAAATGACAGACCCGACCTCTTGGCAGAGAGGTGTAACCGCACAATGCAAAGAACTACAATATTTTGTTCACGTGTGTTGGTACTTGTCGCTACATCAAAGCAGAGGCAATACCTCACACCACACTCCAACCAATGGGACCTGAACCCTCTCGCAGTTCCGGGATGGTAAACTTTATGGCGGGTCACAATCCCCGGACTAAACCCAAACCAGCCCGACACCCTCCTTACTTTTAGAAAGCGCCATATGTACTAATAAGATAAATATGTCCAAAAGACATTGAAAAGAACTTTTGTCACTAGAGAGAGGTGGCCCTCTAACGGTCATAACTCTCCAAAGGTTAAAACCTGCCTTTAGAAAGGAGCGGCGAATTATTTCATTAGTAGAGGAACAGGACCAATTTCTGACACCTGATTCATCACGGACCTACTCTTAGGAGACCGTTAGATTGAGTCCACTCAATCCACCTCGGGTCAGAAAGACGGCGAAAGCGTGTGAACCCCCAACTCTCGCCGCGAAACAGCTGACTGTTGGAGGAATGAGAAATCTATCGAACCCCTCCCCCCTTCTAAATTCAGCCAACCCGGAGATTTGGGGGATGGCAACGAGGCGTTCCTCTGAATATTCAAAAACGGAGAGTCAGTTCTTTTTGAGAGTCTCGTAACAACAGTTAAACTCGCCGGACGCGGAGCTAGCCCTCTCCATCGTTTGTTAAGGAAATAAGTGTTCGAGCAACGGGAGATCATAGTAGAGTAACGCACTGAATTGTATCTCAGCGGCGCTCAGATAAAACAATCAATAAAGTTAAGTGGTGCCAAGTGTTTGTGTGTCCGTGTGTTCTTTCTCCTCGTCGGAGTAAGGCCCTAAACGACCTGAGCCAGAGTCTCACGCCAACCACTACTAGCCCGATCACCATCAGCTCCCACCCCGTCCACCTTTCCCTTCACTTCGCAGCTGTATCCACAGTTGCTGGCGCCCATAGACCATCCAGTCCAAGTCCCGGACCTGATACCCCTTTCCATAGTGAAGAGAAGTGGTGGAGTTGGAGAAGCGGTGGAGCCAGTTAAAGCCGACCTAGCTGCAAGCTCCACGACCAACGACGGCAGTGGTGAGGACGACAAAGAAAGGAAGGAAGGTAAAAAGTAGCGACCAACCGGTGTGGCTTCAGGTTACACGAGGGGGACGGTAAGAGAGGGCGCCCCAAATGGACAGGACAGTAACTTTCATGGGGCTCGATACCAAGACAGACTGACTGACTGTCAGTTGCAATGTGACTTGGACTTGGGAGTTTGACACCCCATGTGGAGGTGGGGTTGAATACCTCCACTGTAACCTTGCTAGTCACAGGAGGCGAAAAAAAGGGAAGTCTTAAATCTGAGACAGTAAAATACGATCGCAAGTCCCAAGGGACTCTGACCCAACAAAGACTGTGCTGGCAAGGGCCAGCAGCATATACAAAAGACACCCGTCCTCTCGTCAAAGAGGGCGCCCCATAGAAACAAGACCGTAACTGTCAAACCGTAATTAATATATCTGGGGCTCGACACCAAGACTTACTGACTGACTGACTGTCAGTCGCAATGTGACTTTGATTTGCGAGTCTGACAGTTCTAGTTTCTAGTGAGAGTTGTTAACATGAAAGGACAGACTGTGGAACGACTTGTTCAATATTTGTGTTATAGTTACGTCGTTGAGTAATAAAGTGACGACACAAGAATACACCTCCAACTGCAGTGCCAGGATGGTTCACTGACCACCTGTCAGCCTCTTGGGCATAGGCTTCCTTCAGAGGCCTGAAAAAGCCAACATCTAAAGGCTGTGGCTTGCATGTGGTGGTAAAGACAGAAGAGTTATATGATGTTCCCTACAGAAGAGAACAGCTTCAATACTGCAATGGGCTATGTGGTTGTCCAGTATCAGGAGAACTGGATCCTCTTTCGTTGGCTTCACGAAGCTGGTGAAATGCTTTAGCCACTCTACGAAGAGTTCAGTATTGATAAAACCAGTGTCAGAAATCATTGGCAATGTTCCTTCTGGGGCATCTGTGAATAGCTCTGGTTTCATCCACTTTCTTGCGAAGATCATGGCTGGAGGAACAAATATGCAGCACACTACAGTTACTGTCTGCCCTCTCTCACCTAATGTTACTTTGCAGACAATTTTCTTTCCCCTTTGGGATATTACCTTTCGGTCATGATTGGGTACTGTCGAGATACCAGACTCGTCCACATTGAATTTAGGATGAGCTGGAAACTTTTTCTCAGCACACACACTGACCAAATTATTATGAAATCCCTCACATTGGATTTTATTGAATTCAATTGCTCTCCCTAGTCTACATTTCTCTGGAGTGTGTAACATTAGATTTTGCCTCCTGCAGAAGGCCAATACCCAGTTCTTTCCCACTAATTTCGCAGTCCTGTTGAACATCTGTTCAATCTTGTTCTTGTCGGCAAACTCGTGCGCTAAACTCATGAGCTTTCCTGGTAATGCCATAGAATCTCTTGTCTAGCTCCCTCAAATGGTCTGCCAGTTGCCATTCCTCTTCAAGGGTAAACACAGGGAAATTGGTACAGTTCCCTGTAAGTTAAAGCAAGAATAAATTATATAATTTACTCATAGAGTAAATATTGTTAAACTTTATTTAAAATGTAGTATAACATAAATAAATAAACAAATAAAATATTAAATTACTTATTTAATTAATAGTGCTCACTTAACAATTTCAATCTATTTCTCAAAGTGGATTCTTTCGTTCCCAATGAAGCAGCTACTTTTCTTTCACTTTCACAGTTTTCAGTTCTGCATCTAGCTTCGTCTAGGATTTCCTGAGTAAATATCAGTTTCCTGTCTGATTTCCTAGAATATATTGAACTCATAATGCTCTTGATCAGACGTCTGGAAAAAAGAACCATCATGCAACTTATTTATTTGGCCCTCACAATATAACCATCACCCAACACCCAGATACACTTCACTACATGTTTCGGACACTAGTGGCCATCCTCTGGTGAATACACTTCAACGAACATACACCACTGAACTGCAGCACTTTACGTGTATGTATTGTAACACAAAAGGATGCACGAAATGAAAATTGAAAATTTAAGAACATCATCGTTTGAAACCTTTCCTACGAAGCGAAATTGTGCCTCTACGATCGCGCGCAGTCTTACAAGCGTGTACGTAGTTCCACGTTTTGGCCAATAGGTGGCAGACGTCTTCATGAGGCAAACAGCGAGTAGTTCACATCTTAGGTAATCTGTTCACCTTACAACAGGAATACTGTATTTGTATCCAAGAAAAACATTGTTAAAATTTGCAATAAAGCTTGCCTTATTAATATTCAGATTTATGAATTGTTATTCTTACCTGATAAATCTTTATTAAACCATATTAAGGAAAATTGTTCACATCACTGAACAGCATCTACAATCTTCGTCTCTCGACGCAATGGCGTCAGTCAGCAATGCTGCCAACGTTAAAAAATTCCACTGCACGGTCTTAAGTGCCTTAACCCTAAAATCCCGAAGAGAATATGGACGAACCAGGCTTCACTGCAATACCTCAATTTACTTTTTAATTGCATAACTCTGTTCTTCGGAACAGCGAATTGGAACAGACCCCATAAATCTGAATGATTACGGGTTGGGGGGAAGAGAGAAGAGGAATGTCTCGTATGTCTTAGTGTATCAAATTTCATAACAGTCTTTGCCGAAATTGGTTCGCGAATTATGGTCTTTGAATTATGCATAAATGTGTCACAGGCATAACGACTAGTATAAAGCAGGCCTACAGATTACCCGGAATTGTCCAGACTCAGATATTACCCTTGTGGGTCTATGCAGGCGTATTGAGGTCGTGAGGTTCACAAAGTGGGCCCTATCATCAATGACGTTCGAGATGGCCAGAAATTTCAGTTTACCTCCCCAGAAGGAAGCCCATCGGCGTTCTCAAAATTTCTTCTTAGTTACTAGAACGAATTTTTCTGACTCTTGTGACGAAACCCGCCATAGTCACGACACGAACAGAAGCCCAACAAAAAGATCATTTTAATTTAACAAAAATAAAAATAAATGGGGAGGTGGGCGTAAAATCCGTGGCCCCTAAAATCGTGCCACCTGAAGCTGAGGCGTATTTCGCCTCTGCTCTCTCACAGGTCTGGCCTGTCAGGCAAAATGCGCGTGTTTCATGAACATCGCTTCGTTTGTTATAAAACTATTCGGAAGACATATTTCGTAAGCATTTTCGGGCTCAGAAACATCCATTTTCTTCAGAGCACCGAACCTAACGATATTAAATAGAATGAAATGGAATCTGACTAGCTTGGACATGAAGATGCAGCTGAGAATTCTTTCAGATCTTGAATGAAGAATTGGAAGATTTAGAATATTAAGCAACGAAAAGCAGGAGGAGAAGTGAAAGGTTATGAAATGGAGAAAAAGAAGTGAAATGACGAGAAAGGGCGGAGGAGGGTGGCAAGAAGATAACACCTCTTGTCCTATCGCTTCCATTCTTTTGAATTGGTTCCTCCTGCCCCGTCACGCTAGCAATATTATAAAAGCTTATCACTTCCGTCTGTCACTAAATTGTTGACAGAATTGCTTCACGAGTGCTATTATTCTCACCATGCGGAATTCCGTAGGCTTATCCGAAAAAAGGACATGTCATAAAATGTTTCCAGAACTTATTTTGTTCCACATTCACAACGCTATCTCGCTAGGTCTCTTTCGGTTCGATGCCGGGATTTGTGGTAGACAAAGTGGCGCTCGGTCAGGTTTTCTCCGATTACTTCGGTTTCCCCTGCCAATCGTCATTCCACCAATTGCTCCACAATCATCCTCACCTATCATCTGGGGCTGGTACAATAGGCCAGAAGTGGCCGCAGTACAAGGGACTTAGTCCCACCCCACTAGCAATAAAGAAAATAATAGGTCTCTTTCACATTAAATAAATTCAAAGAAATGTAATCAAGGATTTAAGACTTTGAAGCAATTAAATTCTTAAATATTACATTCATAAATGTAGTTCATACCTAACAGAAAACATTACTCATGTCCATTACAAAGACACATCAGTTTGTGGGATGTCGATATATGAAGAGACAGCCACTTGTTGAGCTGTTCTATAATATTTATTACAGTTGCACAGTATACACAGACGAACTTGAGTTTGAAGAATTGAAGACTAATAGTACAATAACGATACTGAACTCTGTAACACCTTGAACATGGTACTGAATCGCAAATCTGAACTGTAACTCCAGACTTCCAAAGTCACATTACGACTGACAGTCAGTCAAGTCAGTCAGTCAAGTTTGGTGTCGAGCCCAATTTGGGGTTCATAACCAGATATTTATTACTGTTTGACAGTTTAGGTTTTGTTATTGTGGGGCCCCCTCTCTAACGATAGGACGGGTCTGTCCTTTGTCAGAGTCATTGTCTATAGTAGTAAATCATTTGCCATAAGGTAAAGGACATTTACATTTTACAAGTTAAACATGATCATGAATATATTAAATATATAAAGGGCCTTTGTCAGTCCAGGCTCAGTACAGCAGATTATGCCCTATTCAAGTCAAGTCAAAGTCAAAGTCACATTGCGACTGACGGTCGGTCAGTCTGTCTGTCTTGGTGTCGAGCCCCGACTGGGGCTCATGACCAGATTTTTTTTTCTTTATATGAAAGTTACTGTCCTGTTCATTTGCGGCGCCCTCTCTAACGAGAGGTCGGGTCTGTCATTTTTCAACCCTATTCAATGTATCTTCTTACGAGTATTTAACCTTGACTTGGACCTATAGAGAACATGTCACTGTCCGTATTGTTGTAGGCTTTGCCTAGCACCGGCTGTTTACTCAGTCGTTGCTAAGCAGCGAATGGTTCCTAGCTTGTAATTGGCTAGCACTCGACCCACTGTTGGTGCTTCCCACAGTCACACATTGTTGTAGACCTTACATAGCAACGACTGTTTACTCGCTGTTGCTAAGTAGTAGTACCTGAGCTGTCACTTTAACATTTGCTTGAATGTGGGCAGTTCCCACAAGTTGATTATTTCTCATGTTACTTTACGAAGCTTTCAGTATCTACAGTGCTATGCATGTAGACTCGTAACTAGGGAACGACCGCGAAATAAGCCGTATTAGGGGTGTAAAAATGGCCGTTGCTAGGTATTCGCTCTGTAAGCAAAGAATGTTGCTAGGTAAAGACCACACGAAGCGTGCACACAACAATAGAACTGTTGGAATAGGCGTTTTCTGTGGGGTCCGTGCCAGGCTATGTAATGAGGCAGTTAGTTTAATTTTGAACTTTGACTTTGAGAGTCAGTCGATACGTAAGAGCGACAGTGTACCGTTACCAAGGAACGACTAGTAAAGTCTTAGCGTTTGCAGTGTTGAGTTATAGAGTGTGTGGATTAGTGAAAGTGGTATAAGTTCACAGACAGTAAGTCTTCTACACCAGGTCTTAATTGGATATAGTGTTTTGAACGAAGTGTGTGTTGGACAGACTTCACTTTACATAGTGTAGGAGGACAACTAGAGGAAAATGCTGAAAAAAATTGGGATTCTATCATTCCTATTTTTTCTTGTGGTATATCACCAAGGAGGGTTATACTATAAAATTCCAGCTTTAGAATCAAACTTCGCACTTGAAGCAGTCACATCACCTGAACTAATCCCAGAAATTGAAGCAATCCCATCACCTGAACTAATCCCAGAACTTGAACCGATCCCATCACCTGAACTAATCCCAGAACTTGAACCGATCCCATCACCTGAACTAATCCCAGAACTTGAACCGATCCCATCTCCTGAACTAATCCCAGAACTTGAACCGATCCCATCACCTGAACTAATCCCAGAATTTGAACCGATTCCATCACCTGAACTAATCCCAGAACTTGAAGCAATCCCATCACCTGAACTAATCCCAGAAATTGAAGCAATCCCATCACCTGAACTAATCCCAGAACCTAAACCACTACCAGCATTCCAAGAGATCCGAGCCTTGCAGCCAGTCCAAGTCTCCGTCACAGCAGAGAGAACAGAACGTGGACTGTGCCGGGCACTGCAGCTGAGGATCTTATCAGAACACAAGGAGATAATCTGGATGATTCTTGGCCCCCTGCTTCTCTGCCCCATCATAGTCCTTATTTGCTTGAAGGTGTATTGCCACTCTCGATGGGTTTCGTGCGAGGAGCATGGGACGACAGAGGAACCACCACAACCGAGGATGTTATGGCACCAGTGGGTAAATGTAATGCAGGAGTTGAAGGCTACGCTGGCGAGAAGGCAAGAATTGCAAGAACTTCTTTCCCAGTCCCAGAGTAAAGTAGACCCATTGAAGATATTTGTGCAGGAGCAAGACAAAAGTCCTGTCCATTCACTGAGTGGGGTGGATTTAATTAGGACAACGGAGGTGGAACACGAACGCCCTGTTGACCTTCAGAACAAGGGGGACTCAGAGAGGACAGTGGAGGTGGAACACGAACGCCCTGTTGACCTTCAGAACAAGGGGGACTCAGAGAGGAGAGTGGAGGTGGAACACGAACGCCCTGTTCATCTTCAGAACGAGGGTGACTCAGAGAAGACAGTGGAGGGGGAAAACAAACATGATGCACACTTTAAGGATGTGGTGGATGCTGTGAAGATTAAAACGGACAGATTGCCTTTGATGCTTACGGAAAAGACAGTGGGCCATCAAGCATCCATAGAGTCCCCTGTCCAGATGGGGAGACGCAGGGAAAGCTGTATTGTAGCTTCCAAGCCTACGGGCAAAAAGGAAAAGGAAGTTCCGATGAGCAAGGTGGGGGTGGGTTTGGCTCCACCCCCAAATCTCAAGGCAAGAAGAGGCGTGGTCATGTCTCACAATCAGAGCAGCTCGTGCCACAGGCCTGGTGGGAGTAAAGTGAAGATATACAGCAAGAAGGTGGACTATAGTAAGATAAAAGCCAAGGTTGACACCTGGAGGAAAATATAGATGCAAATCGAAGGCGACGGTAAAGCCAGTGACAGATTGAAATTGCGCTACGACTTCCTTCCAAGGAGGGTGACCAGGTGTGGCTCTTTTGCCGAATCCAGACTGATCGAACGTCATCTAGCTGTTGTATCCCTATGATGGTGATGGGATTCGAGAGGTTAGCCGAGCGGGAGACTGTTCCTCGTAGTACGTCGGACACTTAAGGATTGAAATCCAAGTCGAACTCGCAGTACGATACAGTGAATATATTTAATATAAATGATGTTGATACAAATGTTGTACAGAGATCAAGAATATTGGGTGAATAGAAGTTTGTGAAGTCCCTATGACGGTGCACAGAGACTCAGTGCTGTGTATGAACTGAAATCTATTAAGTCCCTATGACGGTGCACAGAGACTCAGTGCAGTGTATGAACTGAAATGTATGAAGTCCGATCCGCGCCCCAAAACGTGGTCTTTAAAAGTGGCTAGAATGGGCGTTGGCTGGCAGTCACATGCTATGAATTTCACGTGGAGTTCATGCTCAAAGCAGATGATCCCAAAGTTCCTTGTTCTCTAGTTGATAAACAAGTGTTGCATCATGCGTGTTTGTCTCAACCAGAGCTCATTATTTTATTATAATTATAACTTCCTGTCTGCACAGTCAGACAAAGTCATATACATAATGTTTAATGTAATATATATATGTGTATGTTAAGAGGTGCATATATTACATAGCCTCCAATCGTCATGGAAGGGTCCATGCAGGGTAGTCACACGGATAAATGTTGTGATGTACAGCATCCAGCGGAGCCTCAATCGAGGATGTTTGTGGCACATCTTGACCGGCTCGCATCTTATCAGGGAATAGCTCGGGACGAGCGGCCTTCAGGATGGAGCAGCTGTAGAAGTTGAAGACTTCAACTCGGTGTCAGCTATTCGGTACGCCAGAACCTACATCAGGGAGAGAAATGACCGACAGAATACGAGATAAGACAGAGGCCCGTGTGGAGGCGGGTTCGAATACCTCCACCGTGACCCTGCAAGTCGTTCTGCATGGTAGAATCTGTCCAATAAATTGCTTCATCTAATCCAGAACCCAATTATTTGTTGCGTTACCAGGACACGTCACAGCATCATCCACCAAACGGAGGAACCGAATTAGCCGCATGTGTTACAAACCGGAAGCGATGGACCAAAACTGATTTCATTTTTTTCCCCCCCAGAAGCTTGGCTTTGTTAACGCATTTCGCTCGCAACGTGTCCCAGTCCATCTTCTCCGGTTTAGCCGTGGCAGGCAGTTGAAAATTATTATATGTCTTGGGTAATTGTTTAAATAATGTGCAATTTCATTTTGTGAAAAAATAAACATAAATTTTGGATAGATCAGTCTTTATTCCTTTATTACATATAGCTTTTAATATAAGATACGCCGATAAGAAATGCATACAAATTTCTTAGGTGGAAACCATTGCCGGTGGTGCCTATGAGCAAGAGCCCCTCTCCAAGGTACTGGATACGAGGGAGCCCTCCTAGAAAAGTCGTAGTCTGTACACGAAAGTAAAACGATCATAAGGGATGACATCCCCCCCCCCTTGGCACTACACCCCCAGTGGGCCTAGGCCTACCTCCTTGAACTTCTCCGAAGAGATGACATAGAATACAAAATTATTCTAGTGTCTACATTTCGTTTCGTTTCTCTTGCTTGGGATGAAGTACAATAGTAGCGTGCAAGCGTAGGTGAGCACGTGGTTCGAGGTTAGCTTCGGCGTCTGGTGTTTGTACTGCAGTAAGGTTGGCAGTCTGCAATGCAGTGTTCACCACATCACCGTCTGTCCCCGGCCCTAGAAACGAACACTTCCGCTGCCATTGAACTGGATGAGCCTACCCGGGAAATTTATCCGTAGGTAGAGTTGAAGGCAGAGTTGTCTCTGTGCGTAATTAATGAAGCACCACGTCATGAAGAGGTATGAGGGAGCGGAGGTATGGCTCCACCATTCTTTATTTCGTTACCAGAGGAAGGTAAGTGGTGAGATTTACGCCCCGACCTCTTTACGCCCAGGAAGAGCCCCCACTACCCATTGGTTGGGCACCAGACCCAGTCTCGACGTTGCGGAGTAGAGACAGGATCTCTCACCCCTGCCAGGGTTCGAACTTCGGTTGTCCAGTCCATAGCCCGTCGCTATACTATCAGGGAGAATAATATTAAAATGGATCTTAAACAGGGCGTAAGCATGTGAATTGAATTTGAGTGAGGGTAGGGTCAAGTGGCAGGATTTTGTGAAGAGTAATGAATCCTAGGGTTACTTTAAACGCGGTAAACTTCTCTGTCAGCTGGGCGACTGTCAACATTGTGTACCTAGTTCCACCATATCAAGTTCCGTATTTTGGGTGGTAAGATGAATGCTTGGGGCCTGACGCAATTGAGTTGCCCCGAGTGATAAGGTTGACAGCACATTCAACGTGGTCATCTCTCAAACACGCCTCCGCACACTCACAACCTCACAACGCTCACAACTCTAGTGGTAAAGTAGTGTATGAAGTTCTTTGGCACTTGCACACGGAATGGAAGAGTTCGCGCACGCGCAATGCAATCAATTCAACTCCCCCCTTCTCCCGCCTAACCCAAGAACATCAGCAAGAAACTTTTACCACAGTTTTGCTGGCAGTGACGTGCTGAGGTCCTTGCGTGTGAGTGTGTCTGCTTGTCTGTCTGTCCCTGTGTTCCAGACGCACATGTCTAGTTCATCCACAGGTGGTTTCTCCATGAGTTGGGGGAGGGGCAAATTTTCTTGCTTTGTATTTGGAGAAATTAAAGGGGGTAGCCCTTGATAGTCTGTGACGTTTAGGGTCACGTGGACTCCCTCCCAACCTCCCCTCTTTCGAGTACCGCCTATCTATTATGCATGTGGATATGCATGATAAGTGTATATAAGAGAGACTGTCCGACGATCCCTCGTCTTCATTGAACTTCAAAGTTCGGCGTAGCACGTGGTGGACTTTCTTGCACGCGTCCTTCCGGACAGTAACCGCTATGGAGTGGGGATACGCTGAGAGCAACGGTGAGTGCCAGGCTGCTGGGCCCCCCAAAATGTTCTATCGCCAGTTTGTAACACTGGGCAATCTTTAAAATTAGGATTTGATTACCGATATTATATCTAGAATTATTTTATCCTTCGCCTGCAACGACTTTTGGCCCCAGTGTAAGGTTTGTTTATCAGCGGTTCCATGTATGCGCCAGTTACCAAACATCCCCCATTTAACTGTAGGCCATGGAGCGTATAGTGAGATGACAAAATCGGATGAGGATTCGAAAGGAGGCGTTTATATTTTGTTTGATGGTATTATACCGACGTGAGCCTTTAGGATCTGAAGGAAACCACGGAAGGTTTTCAGTGCTAACCCGTATCTCGTCTGAGATTCAAGGCCGAGTTATTCTGGGTACACATCTGTACAGTTACCGCTACACCACCCTACTTGAGGACAGCCACTCAAACCTCCATGAGCCTAATCATTTCGCTACACTCAACATAAATCGCTGTAACTTGTTAAAAAGACTGCTGCAGTAATGTACAAGGTTACTACGTGTACATAGGGTTTGCGATAGAATTCTAATGCTCGAAAAAGTTAGCGTTATTCAGTTAAATTGCGGTTGTTTTAAAATTTTAATTAAAGATAATCACCCTGCTATACTCAGGTAGTTCTAAAGGGGGTAGTACTTGTGCTAGCTATGCTGACTAATTCCATAATAATCTTGCACCAGTTATCGGCCGCGCCATAGCTCAAGCGGTTAGTCGCTGGATTCCCACCGCGGCGGGTTCTATCCAGGGTGTGGTCAAGTGGGATTTGTGGTGGACAAAGTGGCGCTGGGGCAGGTTTTCTCCGAGTACTTCGGTTTCCCCTGCCAATCTTCATTCCACCAATTGCTACACAATGCCGGTCACGGTAGCCGAGCGGTCTAAGGCTCGCTTGGAAACCGGGATCGTGGGTTCGAATCCCACTCAGGGCATGGATGTTTAGTTTGTGTGTGTGTTTTTCTGTGTTTGTATACAGGTAGAGACCTTGCGACGAGCTGATCACCCGCCCAAGGAGTCCTACCGAATGTGTAAGATCTAGAAAAACCGAAGTGAACGGAGAAGTTCATGGAGGTAGGCCCATTGGGGCTGTAGTGCCAAGGTGGAAAAAAAAAAATGCTCCACAATCACCCTCGCCTATCATCTGGGGCTGATACAATAGGCCAGAATTGGCCGCAGTACAAGGGACTTAGTCCCACCCCACTAGCAATAAAAAATATATTTAATAGAATGTTTAATAGAATCAGCAATTCAAAATATCTGACAGTTGCAGTTTAGAGACTGAAGTTTGTCTAAATGACTTAAAAGTACAGTTCATGCCTCACAAAGAGACACGTTTGTTTCAAGTGGTTTTTTCAGTTTTAGGGAAACAATCGCTTATTGTGAGAAGCCCACAACTTGCGACGGACTGATACCCCATCCAGGGAGACCTACCGTCTGTGTATAGCATCAAGAAACTGAAAAGGCGGCCAAGGCCAATAAAGGGCTGGAGAGCCATAGATGGAGAGATATGAAGCCCAAAAATACATTCTGTGGATAGAGGGCAGAGAGTTATTATGTTAAAACAGGCGTTACATATAGAACCTCACTTACCTACTCACTCATGGAGCTGAGCCCCAATTCGACCCAAGTCGAATTCCGTTAAGCATTTTTTATTCTTATACTTTTAATATGTACACATTTGATTATGAAAATGTTCCCATATAGTGAATATTTGACGAAATAAAAGTAAACTCCGTGGCTTGAATCCGCAAGTGAACTATACCGACCTAGCGACCGCCGCTTGTCAGCGAAGTTAGTGCCAACTTTAGCGGATAGATGGTGTCGCGTGCTCAGCGTAACGGATCCCCACGGCCGTTAATTTCGGTTTTCTAGACCAGAGCCGATTTTTCCTTAAAATAGCTCTTCAATTATCCTCACCAGGCTGAGTGGACCCCGTTCCAGACACACTATACTTCTCAAAATATCTGAACGCCGGGAATCGAACCCGGTACCTCTGAATCTGTAGCCAGGGACTCTGGCCACAGACCACACAGGCGGTAATTTTACGAAATACGAGGAAAAAAAGATTTCTGACTCTGCAGTCTGATGTCCGTAGCATGGCTGATTAACCTTACGATAGTCTGTTTGCATCGTAACATGACCACTATCTGTCTATCTATGGCTCTACACCCCTTTGTTGGACCTTGGCCGCTTTTTCAGTTTCTTAATCTATACACAGTCGGTTCAACTCCTTGGACGGGGCATAAGCCCGTCTCAAGGCCGATACCTACACACAGAATAACACGAACACAGAATAAACGCACACAGACATCCATGCCCTGAGTGGGATTTGAACCCACGGTCCCAGCATTTGAGCGGGCGAAGACGGTTCATGCTTAGACCGCGCGGCCAGCCACTGTGATCGGCAGTACGGTCACTGAGTTAAACAAAATAACGAAGAACACATGAAATTGTGTGTTCTGTAGCTTTCCGGCCCTATAAAGAATCAGCTTTGCAATTTACTTAATGAATGAGCTAAAATAATATTGGGTTTTAGAACTGCCACATTTTCTTATCCGATGTGGGTGAGTTTCATGTAATATTATTTTTTTATAGCTAGTTGGGTGGGACTAAGTCCCTTGTACTGCGGCCACTTCTGGCCTATTGTACCAGCCCCAGATGATAGGCGAGGGTGATTGTAGAGCAGTTGGTGAAATGAAGATTGGCAGGGGAAACCGAAGTACTCAGAGAAAACCAGCCCCAGCGCCACTTTCTCCACAACAAATCCCACTTGACCAGACCCGGGATCGAACCCGGGCCCCCGCGGTGGGAAGCCAGCGACTAACCACTTGAGCTATGGCGCGGCCCTTCATGTAATATTAAGTACTAATCAATCCTGTGAGATGAGAACGCACTGTCGACGTATGAACAGAACTGGTGACGCAAACGACAGTATTTCAATTAATTTGTTGACATGAAAACGATGTATTTTAATATTATAAATTAACAACCGCAATATCTCAGTCGATATCCGTTGAAAGTAAACCGACGTCTCGAGGAACATGTCACTTCCATCTTCAGGGTTGAAAGAAAGCAACCAGCGTGAAGCAGTGGGCTTTGATTGTCATGTGCTTCACGCTGGTTTCTTATTCTAAATTGAAGATGGAGGTGACGTGTTCCCCCGAAACGTCGGTTGACTTTAAATGGACTTCACGTCATTATATCCCAGAAGGTATAACACTTGATAACCATCGCTGTGATAACCTGAAATCCTACGACAGTTTATAAAGCCCTTCACCCTCCCTCTGGCACTATGTACTGTCCGTAGAACTTGGTGTGAATATTCTTTTAGGGGTTGCATATCTTCTCTGAAATGCTATTAGTAAACTTCGCGTATCAAACCACCTGTCTGTCTTCTGACCATAAATATTGCAGGTGTTACTGCACGAGTGTTGGCAAAGCTTATCTATTATAAACTTCACGCCATTGGAGACTGCCACGCCTGGGGACCTTAACTCCCTGACTTCAGAAGTTTCCGAGGTACGAACAAGGAGCCGTGAAGTTTTATATTTTGATAGATCCTTGCGGATTTAATTAAAATTGTTTTTTGATGAAAATTGTCAGTAATCATTATGAAAGTTTTATTCTGACGTCCTAAACACATTTCACTTTAATATTGCAGTCCTTCGGAACCAGGAACAGTGAGTCGTTGTAATGTTTGTTAAACTTTGGAGATTCTTTGCCCCATCGTATAGAGATTTTTCTAACTTTATTTTTACTTTAGGTAAATCACAATAAGCCGGTCACGGTAGCCGAGCGATGTACTGTCTTCGCTCGCTTGGAAACCGGGATCGTGGGTTCGAATCCCACTCAGGGCATGGATATTTGTGTGCGTTTTTCTGTGTTTGTGTACAGGTAGAGGCCTTGCGAGGAGCTGATCATCAGCCCAAAGAGTCCTACCGAATGTGTAAGATCTAGAAAAACCGAAGTGAACGGAGAAGTTCATGGAGGTAGGCCTAAGCCCACTGGGGCTGTAGTGCCAAGGAAAAAAAAATCACAATAAAATATGCAATTAATTTCTTTACAAATCCTGGCAAGAAATGACATAAGAAATGTGCAAAGTGGAATTCTCCGTTTCTTATTATCATAATTGTTAGATTACTTGAAGCCACGCTTGTCCTTGCAGATAACTCCACAATCATCATTCTCTGTCGTCCTAACCACAAATAATCCGCGGTAACAGCCTCTCTGGAGATTAAATACTCGTGGCAGAATTGTCTACGTCCTCTTTCCTTTACACGGAAGAGACGAATAGGAATTACAGATTAAAATTACACAAATTATCTCTGTTAATGCGCTTCCTAATGTTTCTGTTACCGTACCTGATGCTTTTTAAACATAGAATCAAAGTTTCGCAATACCGCCACCTTCGCAATACCAAGAACATTTACAGGGATTTCTGGGTGTGTTTATGCCACAGCCCGTATCTTGGTTTCTTCCGTTCAGTAGTTAGTACTGCCTAACAGACATTAGTTTGTTTTCTTTTACTTGTGGTTTATTTAACGACGCTCTCAGTATTTCAGACTCCGTGGCCTGTAGTCCGCAAGCGAACTATACCGACCGAGCGTCTGCTGCTTGTCAGCGAATGTAGTGCCAACTTTGGCGGATAGAGGGTGTCGCGTGGTCAACGCAACGAATCCCCACGGCCGTTAATCTCGGTTTTCTAGACCGGAGCCGCTATTTCCTTGAAGTTGCTCCTCAGTTGTCCTCACGAGGCTGAGTTGACCCCGTTCAAGACTCAATACTTCTCAGGAAATGTGGTAGCGCCGGGAATCGAACCCGGGACCTTTGAATCTGTAGCCAGGACTCTGACCACTAGAATTATTGAAGAACAGCGAACTTGAAAAGACTTGGAAGGAACCGATCTTGGCTTATTCGAGGTATTATCCCGGCGTTTGCCTGGAGGGACTGACGAAATCCACGAAAAGTCTCAGTCATAATGGCAA